AAAAATATGCAACGATAGCAATTTCATTGTTTATTTCTTGTTGTCAGATATGTGTTGATGTCACTTGTTTCTCATGAAACCATATGGGTGTTGCTAGAACACGAGCGTCGAAGGAGGGTGCCGTTACGTGGCAGCACTAGTACGCTTCAAAGTCCAAATCTTCCACAGAAAGATTCCACAGTGATGCTTCCGTGCTAGACATGGCCTTATTTCCCTAACCCTAACCTTAACCCTAACCCTGACCCTAACCCTAATCTTAAACCTATCACATGACCCTCCTTCGACGCCCGTGTTCTAGCAAATCCCAAACCACATTTACAAGCTACATTTACACACACACACACACACACACACACACACACACACACACACACACACACACACACACACACACACACACACACACACTTACACACAAAATCATGGTGATCCAAAATCGTGACATTTGATATGATGTCCCTCCTCTGAAAATTCGTGGAGGGACATGTCCCCCTGTCCCCCTGGATTTGCGCCCCTGACTACAGTAAGGTGTGTTGCGAGGTGTTAGAACTATTTTGGGCGTGGGATACTTGTTGGATCACTAGCAGATGTACACGAATGTACATGAATACATGTAATGACAGCTGTAGCAGGGTTGACGCTGAATGATACTGGCTTAGTGAACATCGTGGTTGTATCATGTATCTGACGTCATCATGACGTCAGCCGCTGCTTACTACACATGTACGCGGGCAGTTAAATCGCTCTGACAGTTCACATGTACCGTTATATGAAGAAATGAGCATGTACAAATGTGGCACATAGTGTTAGCCATCGAATAAAATTGAAAATGATAAATCGGTAAAATTTTGCCTTAAACCTTGAGAGTATCCTTAACCGCTCGACGTACGGTCACGATATTCAGCACGTCGGGGGGGGGGAGGTCGTCAAATGGACTCAGAATGACACATTTGGGAGTCAAGGGTCAAAGGTCAAGATATGTAAATGGAGGGGGAATATTTCCTTTTTAACTTAAGGTATAGGAGGATATACGGAATTGCGGCACAAATTTTAACGGCTCGACTTATGCTCTTAATATTCGGTGTATAGTGTGATGGGCAGGAAACCCATCACCAGTGCGAAATTGGAGGGCACAGGTTAAAGGGCAGTGGGGGAAAGGTCAGATATCAGACATTTTCTGATGACATGGCCTAATGAACAGAATGAAAAACTTTTTTGTTTCAGCGCTGACCTACCATTTTTATCACTTTATTGAAAGGACCATGAAATGTGCTTTCCACTGACGTGCGAAGAGTAAGTGTCTGATAACCTTTTGACCCTCAAGAGGAGGGTTAAACATGGATTCCTGAACTGCCTCAATGACGTCACAGTGTTATCATATTTATGGCACATCCATAATCTATAAACCCAATAATCCTGGATAGCCGAAAGCGTACAGCACAGGCGTCACCGATCAAAGGTCATTGGATCGAATCCCATCTGTTTTTTTATTATTTACTTGTTTTCTGTATTTTTCGATCTTTATCCATTTAACTATTTTTTTCCAATTAACGCAAATATTTACATTATTTATTTACAACAATTTAATAACAACAAATAATTTTTACAACAATTAATTTTTTTAAAAATAGGGTTAGGGTTAGGATCACAATACACCATAAAACAGGAGTTTTAGGCACGCGATTTGTATCAAACAATGAGATTTGGGAGGTATGCAGAATGCAGAAGGTTGCTGAAATGATGTGTACGCAACTGCGTATCTGCATATCTGCGCCTAACAAAGGTGTCACTACGCACAACTTAAATGTTACGTTTATAACTGCATGTAGCAACAGACCTCAGATGAGCGCAGACGCTCTGCGGCTCTTGTTGTTTTGTAACTTTATACATGTTCGAGTTCGGTGTCGGATTTCATTATTTATCTCTACAGGTTATCAATTACATTATGATCATTTCGAGAACTATATATATAGTATATACATCTGCTATACCGTGTTTTTTAGTGCGTGTCAACCTCTAGATTTCACAGTCGTATAACTGGATAATAATTATTATGGCGCCAGGGGCGTGAACAGGGGGGGGGGTCCAGGGGGTCCGGACCCCCCCCTGCTCGCGCAGAAAACGCATCTAAGGGGGTCTAATTT